CTGTTTTCCACAGTGGCTGCATCAGTTTGCATTCCCACCAACAGTGTATGAGAGTTATCTCCACATCCTCGCCAACACTTATTATTTCTTGTGAAAACAACATATTGTTTTAAGCATACTCAGAACCTCAAAAAATTGTGTGGAAGGCCCCCAGGAAATTTGAAGAAATTCCTTTTCTCTATAAGTTGATAAATTACAACTGATTCATTGACTATAATGCAGTAAAATTAGACAACAGTTATGAAAGAGAGGCAAAAATCAATTTTTACATCAACTAAATAGCTTTTAGGAAAGGAGGAAATATGTGTAAGTGATGAACTATTGCATATGAAACTCACAGTGTATGGCCAAAGCAGCAATCATTCTTAAGGTTTGCTTTCTATATTAGCATTAGCTTTTAAAAAATTTCATGTGGGGCACCTGGGTGGCTTAGTCTGTTAAGCGTCCGACTTCGGCTGAGGTCATGGTCTCACAGTTTGTGGGTTCAAGCCCTGCATCAGGCTCTGTGCTGGCAGCTCAGAGCCTGGGGCCTGCTTTGGATTCTGTGTTTCCCTCTCTCTCTGCCCCTTCCTTGCTCATGCTCTGTGTCTCTCTCAAAAGTAAATAAACTCAAAAGTTTACTCAAAAGTAAATAAACATTAAAAAAATAAAATAAAAAGTTTATTATTATTTTTTTTCTGTGTAAGATATTTTCACTGCTCAAAACAATAGCAAAGTATAAACTTAGGAACATGTCACTTCCATTCCTATCTCTCTGCCTGCTCCTCACCCAAACTCATCCCTGTAGGTAACTTAAAAAAAAAAAAAAAATCAGTCTTTGGTTTATCTTTTTGCACAATGAGGGAAATATTATATATGTTCTTTTTCCATTCTCTTTTATGCAAAAATCTTGCCTACTGTATCAGATGTTTTCCTATTAGCTAAGGTATTGGATTTTGTGTTGAGAAATCCATTGATTTCTTTTTTTATTATTATTTTAAAATCAGAAATGGGTGTTGAATTTGTCAAATTTTTTCCAGCTTCTGTGGCAATGGTCAGTTTTTTTCTCCTTAGAAAAAATTAGTATCGTTAGTACCTTAAATTATTAAACATGACAATTTATCTCAACTTTGGTTGATTTTCCATCCTTATTTATCAATAATTGTAAACATTTAAAACATTCCTTATAGTTAGATCTTTCTCTCTAGGTATAAACACATTTAGTTCCTCTTTGATATTTCTTGTGTAACATGTTTCAGAAACTTAGAAATATACCAAATGAAGACTAATATGTTTTCCAAAGTGACTTTCAAAGAATAGACTTTCCATGAATTTATTTGCTTCTCTCATTCCTGAACTGTTATGTTTAAGTTTGAAAGTTTGGCTTTCAAGATGATCTGCTTCGTTACCATTGCATTTCAGTAGTTAGAGATACTCAGCTACCAAGTAAAAATGTTTAAAGAAGTCTTTCCTCTTACATTTTCTCCTCCACGTAGTGATGTTCCTATTAGGGACTCGAAGGTAAAGCAGAAAATGAGAGAACATTTCTGATGTTGTTTGGGGGACTATAGGTAATTACCACTGTTAAATCTAGGTTGTTCATCTCTCCAGGCCTCTAAGCATATGAAAGTTGTTTGGACCAAAGATATATCTTGTTCCAGGCATTTAACTTTTCATTATTTTTGAAGATTGAAAATTTGGCATTTAGTAGCCATAAATTAAAAACTGAGCCACATGTGCAACCAAATCCAAGCCTGAGGTCGTGTTTCCACACCTAATGGCATAAAGCAGTTTCCAAATCTTTTCTCACTAGCCTCTCCGATTCACCAACCCTTTCTCATTCTGCTGTAGAGGAAAAGGGTTTAACATTATTTGCAAGTAAGAATTATTTTCAACATGTCAAGGTAAAGACTGGGGCATACTACAAAGTAATAATGCAGTATGCTCCTCACAGGTGTTTTCTTTCTCCTTCTTTCAGTTAATTTTTTCTTATTCATTGATTTTTCCCTACCTCCTTTGTCCTCACAGTTGTCTGTTTGTCAAAAAACTTCTCTAGCAGCTTCTTCTATCTTTTTTTGTGTGGGAGTTCTGTACAAATTCCACACTGCATACTTCAATTGCTGGGTATACTGTGGTTGTTATAGTTTGTGTACCCTGGAAGGCTTAGGGGATGTGTTCCACATAGAGTTTTGAGGAGTTTCCCCTTTCTCTTAAAAGTCTTTTCAAAGCAATTATTCCAGAATGGATTATGTGTCTACTTCTACCTGCACAAAAAAATTTTGAAGGGAATCTGGGAGAAATCATGATTAGGTCATAGATTTGGAAAGTACTGAAAATTGCCTAACCTAGCATTTGACATGTAAGAAAATCCAGGCACAGAGTGGTTGTGTGACTTGCTTAAAAACACACAGGAAATGGGGCGCCTGGGTGGCTCAGGCAGTTGAGCGGCCAACTTCGGCTCAGGTCACGATCTCGCGGTCCGTGAGTTTGAGCCCCGCGTCGGGCTCTGTGCTGACAGTCTGGAGCCTGTTTCGGATTCTGTGTCTCCCTCTCTCTGACCCTCCCCCGTTCATACTGTCTCTCTCTGTCTCAAAAATAAATAAACGTTAAAAAAAAATTAAAAAAAAAAACACACAGGAAAAAGAAACACATGGAGAAAGGATAAAGGAAAGGCCTGCATGTGTTCTGATCTGGATTAGTGACCAGGAATACAACTCAGATCTTACTTTCAATTCATGGCTATTTCGACCACAAGAGGAAAACTGGTCAGCCTAAATTGGAAGGTCAAGGAAACAGAGAAAGTTTTGTCCTCAAAACATACCTCACTGTCCAGCTCTTTGTAGAAAAATAATAATAATAAAAAAAAGGTCCTCTATCATTATAGATGTTATTGCTTGATTCCTCTTCCCAAGGCCTAACCACTATGTCTTGGCTTCTTTTTCACCCATCATTTGCCATTTCTGAGTATTGATTGCCCAATGTTCTGTGGACCTTTTCCGCTCCCTTTAGGCTGAATTAAATCTTTTATTGTTATTTTTTATTAATTCATTGGCAGAATGTTTTTTCCACACTCTAATAAGAGCTTTGGCTCTGAAAGAAGTATTTATTATACATGTAATTTAGCCCCAAAGGAAACCAGAAAAAAAGCAAACTGGAACAAGAAATTAATTTTCAATTTATAGGGATATTAACAGATGAAGTATGGTTAAAAAAAATTCCTGAAGTAAAATAACCACACTGCCATTCAATCCTTGCCATTAATGTGGTTTGTCATAATACCAAATTAAATCCATTTTTTAAAAATGTTCTGTGCTCTTTTAAACAAATATTTTTTTTCTAAATTTTAAGCAGAAGGAAAACGTCCATTCAAGGTAATCAATATTAGAGTACTTACTATTCGTCAGGCACTGTGGTCGGCCCTGAAAAGGATTCTAAAATGAATAAGTCCTTGCCATTGTTAGCCTGTGCATGTCTTCTTTGTCTTTCAAAATGTCTTTGCACAGAAAAAAGTCTGTGAGGGAATCACACAAATTCCTACACTGCCCCTTCATCACTAGGTCATATGAGTCCCTTGACACCCTCAAAATCAGAAAATGCCTGCCCTCATGGAATTTGTATTCTGGGGTATGTGTAGGGGGGAAAAGACAATAAGCAAATAAGCAAAATTTGTGTTTTAGAGAAAAACAGAGAGGGGCTTAGGGAGTTCTTGGCATGGTAATGTTGCAATTTCAAATACAGACGCCAGGGAGGGTCTTAGAAGGGGACCTGAAGTAATGAGCTGAGTGAAATGAAGATGTTAGACAAGAAGACATCTATAGGGGAGAGCATTTCTGGCACAGGAAACACCAAGTGCCAAGGCCCTCAGTTAGGCATGTGCCTGGCCTATTCAAAGATGAACTAGGAGGTAAATGACCAGTATGGCTGGAACTGGCCAACTAGGGAGAGAGCAGTAGGAGAAAATTTAGAGAGCTAAGAAGCGGAGAGACTTTGGGTTTTTCTGGAGTATTTTGTTGAGCAGAGGAGTAACATGATCTAATTTACAGTTTAGGTGGATCATGACCAAAGTTGATAATGGCCAGAAGCAGGAATACAAGAAGCTACCACAATGTTAGGAGGTATTGACTGGAGAGAGAGACGGTTGTAATGGAGAGTATTGTGAGAAATGGTCGAATTTGGCACACATTTTGTTGGTGGAGTTACCAGGATTTGCTGAAGAATCAAAGGTGTGATGGGTCTGAATGAGGCCAAGTTGCTGCCAGCTTTGGAAACCAGTCACATTCTCAGTATCATCTTTGCAAAAGGTGGAGATTTTTAAACGTCCTGATTTTATGTTTTCATCTCAGACTATCTATTCAGCATCTCCAGGATCGTGGCCCTGTAATTAATACACTTAAATGTTTTTCTGTGATTTTTCAGCCAATTTGACTGGAGCTAATGAAACCTGGTGGTTTAGGGCTCACTTGAAAGAGGCTACATTCAGGGCACAAATTGCGAGCACATTGCTGTGCAAAGTATGTGGGTAGGTGGTCTCGTGAATGTACATATCCCTCTCTGATCCCTCTCAGAGAAGAGAAACACTCGAAGACACCTGAAGTGGGTCGATCCAACCACGGAAGGCTTCCTGGAGGGGCCCGACTTTGAAAAAAGCTTTCCCAGGCCTGTATCCGAGGGTAAGAAGAATAGAAAAGAGAGTGTGGCGTGACTGAGGGGTAACAAAAGGCCCACGCCAGAACTCCGGTTGGCTGCCATTCTCCCGGGAACAAATTGGGCTTCAGTAACCGCGCCAAAGGTGTAGCTCCACTAAGGCCACGCCTCCTCCAGGCAAGGACCCGCCCATTTCCCCGTCCGCCACTGCGGCTCAGGTTTCCGGAAGGTCCTGATTTTAGAGCGGACCAAACCGGATGAAGGTCGCGCGCCCTCTTCCGCCCGTGTTCCGGTTCACAAAGACCCCTCTTCTAAGTGGGGTGGGTACGCGTCGTCCTTTTGCGCAGGCGCGCGGTGTGAGGTCCACGCTCGCCTCTATGCCGGCAGGGCACGTCTCGCGGGTCCGCGCCTTGTATCGGCGCATCTTGCTGCTGCACCGGGGTCTGCCCCCAGACCTTAAAGCCCTTGGTGACCAGTACGTGAAGGACGAGTTTAGGAGGCATAAGACCGTTGGTTCTGACGAGGCCCAGCGTTTCTTGCAGGAATGGGAGGCAAGTGAATGCCACCTTTTCTTTGCCCCAGACCCTCAAAGGTGTCCCGGTTTGTCCCCGTGAGAGACCTCCTGTCCCTGCTGGTTTCCCGCGGGCTCCACGCAGGATCGAACAGCGGCAGCCTGTTGCGTTTGAATTAAACAGCGCAAAGCTGTTCAAACAGTACTTCCCAAAGTTACATCACCTGCGGGTCTATTTCTGCCACCGGTTCCTGGCAGGAGCAGATCCCGTTATATCAGCGTCTCCAAAACAATTCGTCTTGAGCTCATTCCCATGCCAGGCTCTGGAGGAATGAGGATGGGAGGTTACAAAATTGAATAAATCACCGTCAAGCAGCTTGTTGCCTCTCCAGTACCTTGCACGTAGCAAGCGCCTATTAATAAATTAATGTTTTCTCGTAACGTAGTTTTCAGACTTAGAGGCTTGTTTCCATACTGTTTTCTAAATGTCCGTGCCCTTTCTCGGGTCTTAATAATGTTCTCAGTTGACTGATAGCAGATACCGGATACAACTGCAAGCAGTGGAGGAGAAAAATGCTCAGAGTTAAGTCAGGTGAAAGTTGATTTCTCGGGAATTTCAAGTTTCGTTACTTTGTTGCATGCTGTACTGTACCATTGCATTAAATCTCAGACACGTGCATTGGGGATTAGCCCTTTGACTTCCCATCCCTTTTTTAGAGTAAGGCTATTTAGAATATTTCGTGGAGTTAGGGGCCTAGCATAACTGCCTTAGTTATGATTTGCAAATATCAATAAATGAATGGATTGGGAGTTAGAGTGTCATCTCAGGTATTTGAAAGCATGAAACAGTGTTAGTAAAAGAACAGAGGTAAGTGATTCTTTGAAAGCTTAAAAAGTTGATGGCCAAATTGATGTCGGGTTTTTTTTTTTTTAATTATAAAGATTATGGTTTGAGTGAACACAGAACGTTTTCACTGAATCTCAGAATTCTTGATTGTAGTTTGCAAGATGGTTATTTAGACAATGGTGAAATTTAGAACTTTTATAAAAATCATGTGTGTTGGAGGTAATTAGACTGCATGGAGCCAGGGAAGTTGACTCTTAAATGCAAATTGCTTTCTTTTAATATGGTAACTTGGTCTTGGAGCCAGAACTGGATTCAGATTCAGGTTCTGGAATTTATTAAATTTCACATCGCTTAATTTTTCCTAGTCTTATTTTCTTATCTGTAAAATAATAACAGTATTTATGCGCCTCTAAATTAATGTCTGTAAATTTATTTATAAGCACTTTTTAAATTGCTAATTGCAGTGAATCTGTAAGAAATTAGGGTGTTTAAGTGACATTTTAAAAGCTAAGTCAGTTTGTGACAGGACAGAAAGGAGAATCTAACACTGTGCTGAGAAGATATAAGGGCACTTTGAGAGGTCCTAAAGTGTAAGAACTTGGAAGTTTTTTAGCAAGAGTAAAAACTCAGAATAAATTGATAATAGGCTGGAGGAGAGAGGCATAAAAATAGAAACAACCAGGTAAATAAAAAATGTGTTGATCAACCTACGAGGCTTGGTATCAGGAATTCAGCCTTTTTTTTAAAAAAAAACCTGTCGAAATAATCTTAGGCTTACAGAAGAGTTTCAGAGACAGTACTGAGTTCCCATATATTCTGTATCCAGCTTCCCCTTACATTAAATTAACATTGTACATAACCATGGTGCAGTTATCAAAAATAAGAATGTAACGTTAAAAAAATAAGGAAATTAACATTGCCACAGTGATGTTAACTACAGGCCTTATTCACATTTTGCCAGTATATCCCCTAATGCTCTTGTTCTGTTGCAGGATCCAATCCAGGATCCCACATTGCATTTAGTCATCCTGTCTCCTTAATTTTCTCTCGTCTGTGACAGTTCTTCAATCTTTTATCTTTCATGTGTTTGACACTTTTTTGAAAAATGTTGGTAAGTTGTTTTGTAGAATATCTCTCAGTCTGGGTTTGCCTGATTTTTTTCCCCCTCATGATTAGATTGATGTTGTGCATTAGTGGGAGGGTGATACCATAACAGTGATGAGTTTTCCTCAACACATCATATCAGAGGGCACGTCATACCAACATGACTTATTGTTTGTGATGTTAACTGTGGTCGCTTGGTTAAAGTGATTATCTGCCAAGTTTCTCCACTGTAAAGTTATTATTTTCCCTTTTGAAATTACTGTATCTATTGGGGGATACTCTGAAGATATACAAATATTTTGTTTCTCCTTAAAGTTTGCCAGTTAGTTTAGCATTCATCGATGGATCTTGCCATTGAGTTCTCGTTGTGATTTTCTATTGCCCTCATTCCCTCTGAATTTATTTCTTGGAATGTTTCTGTGGGTAAGCCTTGTCCCTTCTTCCCCATTATTGATCTAGCATTTTCATTTATTTTTTTGGAATGAAGAAAAGTGTATTTTAATGTGGCTAGGGCCCTGTAATTAATGAGTTCGCAGCTGGGTAAAGATTAGTTTAAACCTAGTGATCTAACTATTTGGGTAAAGTAATAATTCTCACAGTTTCAAGGCAGCTCAGTCTTTCTCAAGTCTGGGAGTTAGAAGGGGGGTAGGGTGGATTCTGCCAAGAGAGGTAGTTTTTCTTTTCCAAGGATGAAGACTAGAGAAGATTCTAATGACTTGGAGGGGAATAGAACTTGGCTAGCACAGTGATACCAACAAGTGATATCCTTCAGCCTTCTGGGCTTTTTTTCTCTCCTATGTGTTCTTCAAAATATCTGATTTATGATTATGTTATATATGATGCTACTATTTATGGCATGGGTTTCTGTTGTTTTGGTTAATGATGATTACATATTTGGCACGCATAAGTATTACTAGCTTGATGCTTATGTTTATGTCAAGCTAATTAAGAGTAACACAGTTGTAGACTTACTATTCTTTGTGGACTTTGGATTTTGATATTCTCTCATATATTTCTAAAATTACTTAAGAACTTGAATGTATTCTGAATTTGCTTTACTTTAAAGGGTAAACTTGGGTATGGGTACCACTGGGGAAAAGAGAAAGGAAGGATCAGGCATATTAGAGGTCCCAGCATCAGGAGGAAAGTTCTCTGTTCCTTTCGTTTGTAATCATGGAAAACTGGCAAATGATAGAGCGAATTCAGCTGGGGAACTTTCTGTTCAAGGACCACTTAGGGGAAGGTAGGAGGAAAGTACTTCATGTTTTCTAAGGATAAAAATATATATGCTTACATACAGAGAAAATAGTGAATTTATATAATATCTTACCATAAGAGAAAAAAAAATGTAGGTTCAGGAAGAGTTGTTGGGAATCTGTTAGGGAGAATGTGTGTTGTAATCTTACCTCAGATCTTTTATTTTTTTTTTTATTTTTTATTTTTTTAAAATTTTTTTTTTTTCAACATTTATTTATTTTTGGGACAGAGAGAGACAGAGCATGAATGGGGGAGGGGCAGAGAGAGAGGGAGACACAGAATCGGAAACAGGCTCCAGGCTCTGAGCCATCAGCCCAGAGCCTGACGCGGGGCTCGAACTCACGGACTGCGAGATCGTGACCTGGCTGAAGTCGGTCGCTTAACCGACTGCGCCACCCAGGCGCCCCAACCTCAGATCTTTTAGGAGGCAACTCTTAGCAGTGGAATTGGGGCTGGGTAGATGAGGGGTCTTACTTATTATTGCATTTTTAAAGTTCTAACTGCTCAGTTTTGAAGAATAACTGATTTAGGTAATACTTTCCTTTTTTCCCCCCCTCTCTGTCTGCCCTGTTGTGGCGAGAAGGACTATTCACCACTTATTTTCTGGGAAATCAGAATAAACGTTGAAGATTAAATAGCAAGTAAAACATGGTTGTTATAGAATGTGAGATGAAGAGTGATAAACTGCTGTCAGGACTCACTCTGAACAGACTCTGTGTGTTTAATTTTTCCTTTTCTGCCCCATTTGTTTATGTACATTGTTTTCTTGTCAGGTTTCTTTGTTTTTCCTAAGTAGCTGTTTTGCTCTGAGTCTGTTGGGATATGTTTATAGTAGAGGTTATTTCTGGAAAGAAGTTGTTTCTTTTTGCTTACACATTCTATAAGTAGTTATCGATCACATTATCGATCATAATATCCATCTTATTATTGCCAGGCAAAGTGCTAGGCATTGTGGCACACAAAAATGAATAATAATTGTATTTTATTTTCATGGTGTCCAAAATTTAGTAGCGTATATTAGACAATTGTAATACAGTAGAGGGGCGCCTCAGTGGCTCAGTCGGTTGAGCATCTGACTTTAGCTCAGGTCACGAGCTAAAGTGGGTTCGAGCCCTGCATCAGGCTCACTGCTGTAAACACAGAATGCGCTTCAGATCCTCTGTCTCCCCCTTCTCTGCCCCTCCCCTGCTCACTCTGTCTCTCAAAAATAAATAAACATTAAAAAAATTCTAATACAGTATGAAAGTGTTAAATGCGATGGGAGCAAGTAGGGAGTGGAGACGGTTGAGGGCCACATATAATGTCTAGTTGAGTCTTGAGCAAGTCAAAGTTACCATGTCAAGAAAAAGACTTTCTCAAAAGTGGGAATAACATATACAGAGGTATTGAGGTCAGAAACAGTGTGACTTTTTCTAGGATTTGCAGCGATGTATTTAGAATTTAGTGTCGTATATGAGAGATTAGGAAGAGATAAAGTTAGAGAGGTAGCAAGAGCCAGGATATTCTCCTAAGGATTTTAGGAGTCCCTGAATTTTAGGATTATTTGGAATTCCTGAAAGATTTTAAGCAGTGGTGAAATGATTCGAATTATATTCTAGAAAGATCACGTTAGCAGCAATATAAAGGAATGATGAAGGATGAGTAGATTGAAGGTAGGGAGTATTATTAGGAGAGATGTTGTAATCCCAAATATATATGTGCCCGAACAAAGACAGGTGTTGAGAATGGGGAGTATGGATTTAAGTGTTATCCTTTATAATGTAGAATGGGACTTGACTTGGTGACTGATGGAGGATTAATGAAAGAAGAGGAAATAGAATGGATAACTCTCA